TGCCGGCCCGCCATGGCCAAGCGCATCTCGCTGTCCATCCGCATCGTGGAGGGGAAGAACCTGCCCGCCAAGGACATGTGAGCGCGGCCAGGGAGGGCGCCCCAACTTTCTCGGAGGGGCGCCGCCCCTTCAGCCAGGCCTTCCCGGGGTCCGCACGGCCCGCGCAGGCAGAGCCGCGGCGAGGCGAGGCGTGCGCGGCCGAGGGGGGGGGTCTGGCGGGAAAACGGGGACAGGGAGCCCCGCTGCGGCACGGGACGGGGGTGGCGGGAAGGTGGGGGTGCCCAGGAGGAGGGGGTGCCTGCGAGGACCTGAAGCAGGAGGTGATCAGGAAGGAGGGGGTGACCATGACGACCGGGAGGAGGAGCCCAGGTGACCAGGAGAAAGGTGTGGGTGCGGGCCGGGCTTGGAGGAGGGGTGGGGACGTGAGGGGCCCAGCGAGCCCCGAGGTCCTGGAGGGGTCAAACCGCGCAGGGGTGCTTGGCCAGAGCTGTGCAGGGTGTGGCTGCGAGGGGCGGGGTGCCCCTGGAAACAGGCCTTCCTCTGTGCACCCGTGCCCATGGTACCCAAGTGTGCACCTGAAACACAGTGGGGCCTGGGGCTGTCCCGGACTTTATGCCACACACCTGGGAGGGGAGAGACTCCCACGAGGAGTGGGGTTCAGATGTTGGGGGGGCCTGGGATGTTGGGGAGGGGAACCCGCTGATGAGCGTGGCGTGTGCACTTTGCCCTAGCATCCCTTCAATCCTCCGCCTCACCCCTCCATGCTGGGCTCACTTGACCCCAAACTACAGACAGAAAAAGGGAGGCCGGAAGCACTGCTTCCGGGGGGCTCGAGTCCAGGGTGCCCAACAGGTGGCATCTTGCTCCTTGGCCAGATTTGGGGAGCTGTCGGAGACCCCTTGTCTCCCTTTTATCAGAAGAGCCCTGGCCCTAGGGACCCTTGCTCACGAAGCCTCAGTTTCCCCTTCTGGGAACTTAGGGTCTGAAATCCCACTAATAGGACAGGTAGAAGGCGTGAAGCTGGAAGCCTCTGGTGGTCTGGAAGAGGGATGGGGAGAGGGGAGCCCTGGGATGGGGAGGGGGGAGCCCTGTGCAGTCCTTGGGTTCAGAGGCTGCTGGACAGGAACCTCCCTGCCCCTAGCAGGGCTTTCTGGATGTGGAGAAGAGGGTAGTGAGAAGTGGGGATGGGAGTGGGGGAGGTAGGAGGAGTAGGGGGTGCGGGGGCATCTCTGTAACTGTCACGCACATGACCTCTCTGAGCTTCCCAGAAAGCTCAGCAGCAGTGGTTCCAGTTCAAGGCCCCCTGGGCTCCGAGAGGCCCAGCTCAGCAGTTACCATGGCAACCATGAGGGAGGGGGTGGGCCATCTCCAGGTGGGTTTCTGAGCTCTGGTGGAGATGGGGCAGCAGCAGGGAATGCGGTCTCTCCCTTAGGAAGAAACAGGGGCTCAGCCCTCAGGCCCCTCCTCTGAGCAACCTCCCATCCCCACCCTGGCACTGGTAACTAGGTCATCCTGGCCTCCTCTGGCTGGTGGCTGGCTGGGAGGAGCAGCCCCTGTGTCTGTCGCCTCCCCCCCACCCCCAGCCCTGCAGCAGCTGGTCCTGGTGCCTGCCTCCAGGCTCACACCAGCCCTGGGTGCAGAAGCTCAAGGGCTCTGCCCCTACTTGGGAGGCCATGCACCCAGGGCCCTGCCCTCTGCACAGCCCAGGGGCCTCCATTCTTGAGGGATAGGGGGTCACCCAGTCCTGTGCGTTCTGTCTCTGAGATCTCTATCCTCTTCTGTCCCCTAGCCCCTCCCCCCCACTTGCATGTTCTCTCCCCCATTTCCTCCTCTCCCCTGCCTGTCCCAGGGTGCATGGGGTACACTGCTCCAACCTGTCATCTGTCTTAAACCCAGCTCAGCGCGGTCACATCTGGGGCATAGCTGCCCTTTGAAGCTCCGCCTCTGCCTGTGGGTGTTAAGGATCCCTGCATTCAGCATCTGCAGTGCCTTGCAGAGTGCCCCCCGGAAAACTTCTCTTCATCCTTCAGAACCCTTCTCAAGTATCTTCTCCTCCCCAGGGTTTTTCCTAGTGTCCTTGGGCAGGGTTCTTGGCTTCCTTTCTTGCCCTCAGCACCCTGGTCAGCTAGAGGAATCCCTTGGGTAGCAGCAGTTTAGGGGCTGCCTGTCCCTGCCAACTGTGAGGGCCAGCACTGTGAGTCATGGTCTTGGCCCTGCCCTTGCCCGAGAATAAGGACTAGAGACCTTTGCTGGGTGTCTCTCATGAGCTACGTTGGCAGATGGGGAAACAGGCTGAGGGTGTGCAAGGCATTTGCGGAGGCTGCACAGTAGGGGGGCAGAGAAGTCAGGACTGAGACCTACGCTGCTGGCTGCAGCCTACTTGCTTTATAGGGCTGGCAGGATGCCCTTGGGGGTCCCATGTACAGCATCTGACTGCGAGGCCAGGAGGCGTTTGGTGGCCACAGAAAGTGGCCAAGGCTGAGGTGGTGGTAAGTCCCCTTCACCGTGTCTCACCAGCTCAGGCTTGTGTCCTGAGCAGCACCAAGCGTCCTGTAGCCATGGCTTCCCACATACCGTCTGTCCTCGTGGCCTGTCAGACTGGGACAGTCCTGAGGGACTCTCCATGCCGCCTGCCCCCTCCCGCCCACCACGTCCACTTGTGTGGTTTTATTCCTCTTTCGGGGCACAGGCACAGCGGGGCTCTTGTCACAAGCAGTGTTCAGAACCTGCTCACCTCTCAGTTTCTCCCATCCCTCCATACCCAGGTCAGCTGGGAAAAGGCTAGCCCCATAGTGACCAGTGGCCCACTGGTTCCCACGCCCAGTAGCCCTGGGGACAGGCCCAAGGCTATTTTGGGGTTTGCCCTCTCTTTCCTCTTCCACAGCCTAGAAACTGCCAAGGCCCTAAATATAGAGGCCCACAAAGTAACCAGGCAAGATACTGTCTGCTGTCTTGGGGAAGAAAAAGAGGGGGCCGGGCACTGTGGTTCATGCTTGTAAACCCAGCTTAATAGGAGGCAGAGGTAGGAAGATCAAGGTTTGCTCTAGTCCTGGGCAAAAACTGAAGGCCCTACCTGAAAAGTAATGAAAGCAAAAAATCCTGGGAGGGTTACTGAAGTGGTGGAGCACCTGCCTAGGAATTGAAGGCCCTGAGTTCAGCCATGGGAGAGGGGCCTGCCCAGGTCCCTCACCAGGCTGGAGTGGCATGGGCCGCTGACATGTCCCAAGCCCTTACCAGATGTGTACACCTGGCCTCTCCTCATCCTGACACTGCCCCCCACCCCCAGTCCAGTCCCCTCCTCCTGGCTATCCTGCATGCTTGTGGCTGTTTCTGCCTCCAATCTTTACCCATCAGTCCCGGCTGCCAACTCGACTATTCGTGAGCTGGTAGGCTGCACTGGGAGCTGAGTGGTGGGTGATGCTGGGCTTTCAGGGGTGAAAGGTTTCCTGCCTGGAGGAGTCCCCAGAGTAAGTTGCATGGCAGGGTAGAGGGAAAACCCTGTGAAGAAGGTGCCCTGCCACCTCAGCGGGCACTAACCTCTTCTGCTTCCTCTGAGCTCACTGTGTAAATATATGCTCCATGCCTGAGGCTGGCAGCCCAGCCCTGCCCCTGGGGTGCCCAGGAGCCTTAATTGCTTGAGGCTTTGGGCTGGCAGCTGCAAGCTGGCCTGTTCACAGAGGTGATCTTGGTGATTGCAGAGGATGAAGGGTCTCCTGGGCTCCTTCTGGCCATCTGATGTCACCTCGGGGACCCAGGCAGCCTCCCTGTAAGCTAGGATTACACCCACTTGACATGCCAAAGTGGCCTTGGCAAACATTTCCAGCCTTGGGTGGGCGTTCGGGTAGCTTCCTCTGCGGGAAGAGCCCTGTTACAGAATTGGGAAGTAGAAGACGAAATTCCCCACTCTTCCACAAGTGAACTTCCTTTTTACAGAAGCCTGGCCCCAGGGACAGCTCCAGAGACAGTCCACCCGCCCTCTTGTCCAGTACCCACCCTGGTCCCCCTCTCAACCATATGTCCTGGGCTTGTCTTTCCCAACCCTCCTTCTCCACAAGCCTGGGAGGTCAAGGGGTGTCATTCATTCATTCATTCTCTCACTTGTTTATTAATTCATTGAATACTCACAGGGACCCCACCTTGTGCCAAGCGCTGTGCTGGGTCCTGCGGACATATTGATCGTGTGGGGGAAGGGGTGGACTGGGATGGGGAAGCATAATGGGAGGGGCTGAGGGGACAGCAGGATCCCCGGGGAAGGCTTCCTTTTGTCTCTGATGGGGAGCAGGCAGGGAGCCCCCCGCCCCCTCCCCGCCAGGGCAGCAGCACGGGAAACTCAGAGGAGCACACAGGGATAGATTTTGGTACTGAGCTGCATCTCCACTTTCAGCTTTTTGGTGACTCATTGGAGATGAGTCTCACTTTGCTTTCCTGCCTGGGCTGGCTTCGAACCCTGATCCTCAGATCGCGGACTCCTGAGGATTAGAGACGTGATGACTGGCACTGGGGCCCAAAGTCTGTTTCAGATGTGCTGCAGGCAGGGGCAGGGTGGGAGGCACTCTGAGGCGTCCACACCCAGGGTTGTGGAAGGGGACCCCGCCCCTCCAGCCCTAGGCCCAGCCTTGCCCTCACTGTCTCCTCTAACATGAGGGTGGGGGCACATTTCTGGCCTCAGTGGTGACTGAGTTTTAGCTCAGGATGGAACCTCAGCTGCTAAGGTTTTATCCATGAATGAGGCAGGCACTGTCCAAGAGACCCAGCCCCGCCTCACCACCCTTCTGTCTTGTAGCACGGGCAGCAGTGACCCCTACTGCATCGTGAAAGTGGACAACGAGCCCATCATCAGGTACCTGCCCCAGCCCTTTGGGCATGGCTTCATCCCTAACCCCAAGTCCAGGTGGGTGGGAGGAAAGGGGGGACGTGGCTTCATCATGAAGGCCCAGGGTGGGCTGGGTCCAGACCCTGGGGTGGGCGGAGCTTCATCACTAAACCTCAGGCTCAGGGTGGGTGGGTCTCCCTCACCCAGGCACCAGCTGCTCCAGGAGGAGGTGGTTGAAGTGGTTGAGGAGGCCCTGAAATCCCTAACACACCAGCTGTTGCCAAGCGAGAACCACCTGTAGCTGATCTTTCTGATTATTGACCTTCACTCTGGTTCAGGGATGAGATTAGCTATTGGCAGCCAGGCAGGCAGCCAAGAGCCTGTCACCTGGCTCTGTTCATCTAAGCCGCCTTCCCAACCCTGAGAGAAAACAGAGGACAGTCACCACACTGTCGCAGCACCCTGCCGGGCTGGGTGCTGACCTGTTGCTGGCCCGTCTCATTCATTTACAGTGAGCTGGGTTCTGGATCATTAAACCCACTGACAGTTGAGGAAACTGAGGTGCAGACTAAATAACTTGCCCAAAGTGGGAGCATCCTGGGCGGGCACTGAGTGTCCTCTCCTGCAGGACAGCCACCGTGTGGAAGACCCTGTGCCCCTTCTGGGGTGAGGACTATCAAGTGCATGTGCCCCCCACCTTCCACAGTGTGGCCTTCGAGGTCCTGGATGAGGATGCGCTCAGGTGTGTGTACCCTGCCCTGCAGCTGTGCCTGTAGGTGACCATCTGCTGCTCCCCAGCCCAGGCCACTCAGGACTTCTTTCTGGTCGTCTTTGCAGCCTGATGGGGGAGAGGGGTGCCCCAAGGGCCTGGGAGGGGGCAGGGCTGGGTGTGCAGGTGTCTGTGCATGGGGGTGTGAGCTCAGAAATGGGCACCATGAACTGGGTGTGCACTCAGGTCAGCGTGCTGACATGGCTCGTGCCCAAGGCCTACATGAGGGTCCTGGGCTCACTTCTGCTGGGCTGCCTTACAAGCGACAGGAGTGCCAACCTCCCTGATCCCCAAAGGGGACCCTCAGCTTGTGGGGTGAGGGGGAGACTGCTAGATCTCCAGGGCTCAGCTCTGACTCCCATGTCCACCCCTAGCCGAGATGACGTGATCGGCAAGGTCTGCCTGACAAGGGAGACGCTGGCCTCTCACCCTAAGGGTAAGATGCCCATGAGGCAGCCCGGCCCGGCACCTGCTGCCCTCCTCCACTCTTCTCCTTCCAGCCCCACTGGCTTCCCAGCCCCTGGCTGCCCCCTACTCCAAGCCTCTCCTGTGGGCTCAGCGGTCCTGACTGAGCTCAGGGAAGGCCTCTTCCACTCAGCCCAGCTGCCTGGGCCTCTGGCCACCCCAGCACCCCCCAGACTCTGACCGCAATGCCTTTCCTGGGGCAAAAGCGTTGCTCATGGTGGGAGGCAGGGCCTCCGCAATCAGAAGTGGCTGAGGGAGCCTTTCTCCAGATCAGGACCGCTCCTGTACCCTGTCTGTACCCTGTGGGGCCCCCAGCCTGAGCCCGAGGGTTTGTTCTGGTGCTGCTCCAGGCAGGAGGAACCCAGGGATAACTTTTAGAAATAGATCTCCTGGGGCTGGGAAGGTGGCTCAGTGGTAGAGCGCTTGCCTTGCATGCCTGAGACCCTGGGTTCGATTCCTCAGTACCACATAAGCAAAAAAGAAAAAAAGCCGGAAGTGGTGCTGTGGCTCAAGTGGTAGAGCGCTAGCCTTGAGCTGAAGAGCTGAGGGACAGCGCCCAGGTCCAGAGTTCAGGCCCCACAACCAGACTCAGAAAAAAAAAGAAAGAAACAGATCTCCTTTGGGGGCATCAGCCCTGCCCCTCCTTGCTGTGTGATCTTGGGAAGGTCTCTGGGCTTTCCCAAGGGTCAGACCGAGAGCCCTTGGGTGCTTGCAGGCTCTGCCACCTGAGCCCCTGTGACGCTCTCACCCCGCACACCTGCTCCTGTCTGTGAGGCCTGGACGGGGGGTGGAGGAGGGGGGTATGTGACTCTGACTCATGGAGCCTCCAGCTCTGCCAGGCCACAGGTCTCCCCCACAGTGGTCCCAGCCCTCCTGGTGCTTGGAAGGACCACTGCTGTCTTCCTATTTTAAGATGGGGAAGCTGAGGACAGAGAGGTCAGTCCCCTGGCAAGTCTGGGTCAAGACTCCCAAATGTAGTAGTCACCATAGTGAGGGAAACAGGCTGATCACTGACCCCCACTCCAGTCTCACCTCTTGTAGCTGCCGTTGCTCAGCTTCCTGCCTCAGTTTCCCCCTCTCCTACTGAAGAAGCAGCCCTTCATAAGCACTCCAGAAGGTTCCATGGGGGTGTGGGGGGTGATGGAGGGACTGTGTGATCCCTGGCCAGGCTGAGGGTGAAGGGGGAGGAGGGGAGAGACCAGCCCCTGGCTGAGCTGCAGCCCTGCAGGATTCAGCGGCTGGGCCCACCTGACGGAGGTCAACCCTGATGAGGAGGTCCAGGGGGAGATCCACCTGCGGCTGGAGGTGGCGCCCGGGACCCACAGCCGCCTGCTGCGCTGCTCTGTCCTCGAGGCCAGGTAAGAAGTGGGGGAGGAGCAGTGCACCCATGAAACTGAAGAGCCTGTGTGGGAGCTGAACTTCTGCCTTCCCTCCTCTACCTCCAGGCCCCAGGGCCTCCCCTTTCCTAGGTCTGCTCTCAAGAGAGAGCCAGGATAGGTTATAGCCATGACTGCAAATCCCAGCTCCAAGAAAGACCAGGGCAGGAAAGAGGATCAAGAGCTCTGGGAAAGCCAAGCTCAGTAGCTCACGCCTGTAATCCTAGCTGCTTGATAAGCAGAGATTGGGGAAAATCATGGCTCCAGGCCAGCCTGGGCATTAAAGAAGTTGGCTCGATGCCATCGCAAACAATGGCTAGGCATGCTAGCATGCGCCTACCCTCCTAGCTACAGGGAAAGCACAAGGAGGAGGATCTCCGCCCGGGATGTCCAGGGCATAAAGGGAAACCCTACTTCAAACACAACAAATACAAAACAAGGCTGGATGGGGTGGTGCAAGTGGTAGAGCATCTGCCTTGCAAGTGTGTGAGTTCTGAGTTCAGCCCCCAGTGTGTATGTGTGTGAGGGGGCGGCGGAGGGAGAGAGAGATTTGGGGAGATCTAGGGAACTTGTCCTGACTGGAAAATGGTTCCTGGGTGACTGCCACTTGGGATGTGGCCCTTCAGGCAGGAGTGAGGGTCTCCCAACATCATAGAACAGGGGTCAAGGAGACCCTAAACTATGCTCAGACAGCCCCTCACCCCCTGCCTCATGCCAGGGCTGGGCTTGCCCTGGGATGACTGGCTCTGTGTGTGTGTGTGTGTGTAGGTCTTCTGTAAGATGAGAAATGTAGAGTTGCTAAAAATCTCCAGAAACTGGAGTGGGGGCGGTGCTCCCAGGGGGGACAGTGGCTCCCTGGGCCTGAGTCACCTGTGACAGGGCCACTTCCCCCCCCCCCGCGCCCGTGGGCTATTTTTAGCTACAAGCCCCACTCCTGTCTGGGCCTGAGGGTGAGTCACACCCTCCACTCCATGAGAGGTGACTTCCCTTCTGACTCCAGTCTCTGTCCTGGAGCCCCCTTGTCCCCCCTGCTCCTGGGGCCATGGTCTGTCCTGAGCCAGCCAGTACCCCAGAGCAAGGGGAGCCCACAGGAGTTTCCTGTCTGGGAGGAAGGAGTCTCCCCTGTAAAATGAGGGGTTGAACATCTTGTACATGGCCTTTATTTTCTGCCCTGGGGCTGGGGTGTTGGGAGGCAGCCACAGGCCACCCCCACATGTAGTCCCTCTTTCCCTGGCCATCAGCTTCTGTCCACCCCCATCCTCCATCCTCTCATTTACCAGGCACCAGGCTGTCTGGGGCGTGAATGCGAACGCGTGCTCACACAGTCCAGTTCTTCCACCCACAGGCGTGGGGCGGGCCTGAGTCCTCCCATCCCTCTTTGGCCATCCAGAATCCCCAGAGCTTTTTTCCTTTGGGATTTGTTGGGGACACGTGGCCTCTCTGGCCTCTTAGCAAGACTCTCGGAATGGGGGGAGGTAAAGGGGAGAGGTGTGTCCAGGCCTGAACGCCCTGCAAGACACCTCAGTTGCCCCAGGGGAGGAAAACACCTCCTGACCATTCTGGGGGGAGGATTGCAAGGCCAAACCTAGGCATTCCGTCAAGCAGGTGTCGTTCAGTTAGTTGTTTTCTGTGTTAGGGATGGAACCAGGGCCTTTGTTATGCTATGCTGAGCAAGAGCTCTACCACTGGCCTGCACACCCCCCCCCCCCCCCCCCGCCCCTTACAGCTTTTGTTTTTTGGTGTGTGTGTGTGCTGCTCCTGGAACTTGAACTCCATCCAGGCCTGGGGACTGTCCCCTTGGTTTTTCACTCAAAGCTGATGCTCTACCACTTGAGCCAAAACTTCTACTCCTGGCTTTGTTTCTGGCTAATTGGAAACAAGAGTCTCACAGACTCTCCTGGCTCAGCACGCCTTGACCTGTATCCTCGCTCAGATCTCAGCCGCCCAGGTAGCTGAGATGATGGAAGTGAGGCAGCGATGTCTGCTCAGCATCTCTTACAGTCTTAGAAAACGGGCCTGAGCAGCTGAAAAATTAAAACACAGAAAAGGAAATGAGCAGAAAATATTTATGGCAGATAGAAGCATGGCTTTCTTGTTCTCCTGGAGATCTAGAGTGTGGGGGGCAAGGACCGGGTTTGGGCTTGGTGAAGAGGCACCTAGGGAGAGAGGGAAGTCCAGGGAGGGTCAGAGCGGTCCACCCCTCCTGGAGCAGGGGATGTTATTTCCGCGACAGGCCTTCTAGAAGGCATTAGCTCGCTAAGCCTCCTCCCTATAACGGCCTCAGGAAGCAGAGGGAGGGGCATGCCCAGGTTTGTGGGGGCGTGGCCCGGCTGGTCCATCCAGGCTGCTCTGGCCCCGCCCCCTCTCCAGCTGGGTCTAGAGACTGTAGGCGTCCCCTTCCCCCCCCTATGGCCTTGTTTGGGAACATGGGGTGATGGTTGTGAGGAGAGGGGAAGAGCAGTGTACTCCCAGCTTACCAGGCACTGGATGCACCCAGGCCTTGCTGTGGGTGGGAGTGGGGGCGGGGGTGACCCGAGGTGACCAGTGGACAATCTGATGTCTCCATCCTGTCACCAGGGACCTGGCCCCCAAGGACTGGAACGGCACATCTGACCCTTTTGTTCGAGTGAGATACAAAGGCCGGACTCAGGAGACCTCGGTGAGAAGGAGGGCAGGCGAGGGAGGGGACAGGGAGGTTTGAGCTCCCTCCCACTGTTTCTGCTTCACCTCCTCACCAGACCTCACCATCATCCGGGAGATCAGGTGGGGACTGCAGTCTTCCAGAGGAGGGCTCAGAGAAGTAGATGCAGATAATTGGAGATAATTGAAGTCTCATGGACTTCCCTGCCCGGGCTGGCTTTAAACCTCCATCTTCAAATCTCAACCTCCTGAGTGGCTAAAATTACAGGCATGAGCCACCAGTGCCCAGCTGGTTTTTATTATTTAGAGTGTATACTGCTCAAGGCATGCCTCCAGCCCTTGCACAGGAAGTGTTTTGTTGTTGTTTTTCTGCTACTGCAGAGCTAGGGGTACCTTTGTCCTGAGCTGTATCTGGGGAGCCCTGGAGAGCAAGTGCTACCCCCATTACCCCTCTCTTTTGCAGAACGGGGGATTAAACTCGGGGCCTGAAGTCCCAACCCCTTCCAAGCCTGTCCTTTTCTGGTAGGTGGTGAAGAAATCCTGCTACCCACGCTGGAATGAGACATTTGAATTTGAGCTGGAGGATGGGGCCACAGAGGCCCTGTGTGTGGAGGCCTGGGACTGGGACCTCGTCAGCCGCAATGACTTTCTGGGCAAAGTAAGCAGCGTTCCCATCCCCTAAGGGGCCACCTGTCACCTGCACCCGGCCTCACCTGGACCAGCTGCAGCCCCACTGCCACGGGGGCTCTGAGCCCTTTGCCAGGTGCTCCTCTCTGCTAAGAGAACATCGTTTGCCTGGAATAGACCCGTGTGTCCCAGCCCTGTGTGCTCTGCCCTCAGGTAGTGGTCAATGTCCAGAGTCTGTGTGCAGCTCAGCAGGAAGAGGGCTGGTTCCGGCTGCAGCCCCACCAGGCCAAACAGCGGCTGCGAGTGGAGTGAGTGCGGGCGGCTACCCAGGGTGGAGGATGAAGATGGAGCATTGGCTGTGGGTAGTAGGCAGGGTAGGTAGTTGGTTAGGGCTCAGGGGACACAGGTCCACATTTCCCACAGCCCTTACCCACCAGGCCTGGACCCTTCTCATCCAGATGGGCTCTGACCTCTCTCCTACAGCCCTCAATTATGCACTCAAAGGCTTTCTGTTTTCTGGCAGTTTCTAGAACAAGCCTTCCGGCCTTTCTCTTTTTGGGCTTCTCTGCAGACCTCTCCATTCTGTCTATGAGTTATAGCTCTGCAACCCCCTTCCCAAGAGTCTCCAGGAATAGGGGTGTCAGGTAAAAGATGGGACCCCTGTTACAACCTAATTGCAGAGATAGTAAATTGTGTGTGTGTGTGTGTGTGTGTGTGCGCGTGCTGGTCCCAGGGCTGAAACTCAGGTTCTGGGTGCTGTCCTTGAGCTTTTCTTGCCCAAGGCTAGTCCCTACCACTTGAGCCATAGCTCCAGCTTTTTTGCTCGTTAATTGGAGATAAGGATCTCACAGATTTTTCTGCCCAGGTTGACTTCAAACCAGGATCTCCAGATCTCAGCCTCCTGATTAGGAGTACATGTGTGAGCCATGTGTGAAAAAGGTTTTAGTATCCACTACCCATATGTAAGGGCCAGGCATGATTGTCATGCCTATAACCCCAGTTACTCAGGAGACAGAGGTTAAGGACTGAGGTACAATAACAGTCTGAACTACAGCACAAGTCTCTGTCTGGAAACAAACTAAAAACAAAAAAGGACTACAGAGGTGCTTATCTTCCAAGGTGTATGTCCTGAGTTCAATCCTAAGTGCCACTACCAGAAAAAAAAAAAAAAGAATTACAGTATAAACCAGATTAGCGATGTACTTCTGTAATCCCAGCACTCAGGAGGCTGAGACAGGAGAATCCTGAGTTTGAGGCCAGCCTGAGCTACATAGTAAGATCCTGTTTCAAGAAGCAAAAGAAGGGGCTGGGAAGGTGGCTCAGAGTGCTTGCCTTGCATGCATGAGGTCCTGGGTTCGATTCCTCAGGACCACATAAGCAAAAAGAAAAAAGCCGAAAGTGGCGCTGTGGCTCAAATGGTAGAGCGCTAGCCTTGAGCTGAAGAGCTGAGGGACAGCGCCCAGGCCCAGAGTTCAGGCCCCACAACCGGACCCCCCCCCCAAAAAAAAAAGAAGAAGCAAAAGAAAACAAGAACAGATATATAGTATTGAAGATATACTTACTTGTACTAAAAAATACTCTAAGAGGGTATGGTGTCGTGGGTTTTATTTTGCTTAGTTTAGAAACTTTCTGGCCTGTTTGCATCTCCCACATGTGCCATGGTGTAATTCTTCTTTGCCTGCCTGTCGAAGACCCTAGAATTCCACCCTCATCTCTGCCATTTACTGGGCAGAGAGGGGTAGCTGGATGTGTGGCCAGGCCAAGGGATTTCCATAGAAGCAGCTGAGGGTTCTCGTGTATATGCATGAGCTGAGTACTCAAACCTTCTGTCCCTCAAATCTTGGTTCTCTACCACTTGATCCATAGCTCTACTTTCAGCTTTTTAGCTACTTAATTAAATATGAGTCTCATAACTTCCCTGACTGGGCTAGCTTTGAACCATGTCCTCAGATTTCTGCCTCCTAAGTAGGCAGGCCTACCAGCACCTGGTTTAGGGCTCTTTTTTTTTTGTCAGTCATGGGACTTGAACTCTGGGCTTGGGCGCTCTCCCTCAACTCTTCAGCTCAAGGTTAGCATACTGCCTCTTGAGCCACAGTGTCACTTCTGGTTTTCTGATGGTTTATTGGAGAAAATCTCATGGATGTTCTTGCCAGGGCTGGCTTTGAACCTCGATCCTCAGATCTCAGCCTCCTGAGTAGCTAGGATTACAGGCATGAGCCACCAAGGCCCATTTTTTTTGAGGAGGGTTTCACTATGTAGACTTTAACTTGAAGATAGAAACTCCTCTGTATTCTGCAGAGGACAGTGGAGGCCATGGAGAGTGCTAAGAGCCCTCATTGCGAGTGATTAGACCAATGAACCTTATAGCTTAGAGCTGCTGTGGCAAGTTGGATAATCTGCCTGGGCCTCAGTTTTGCTGGCAGCTGGTTGTGACCATTGGGGGTTTGTGTGAAGGCACTGTTGTCTGGGAGTTCATAGATTTGAGGCTGGGAGCCTGGCACACCCATATGGGTCAATCTTGGGGTTCAGAGGGGTTTGGAGGCAGCAGGGATCCAGGCTTTGAAGATGGATGGTGTTTTCAGGAAGGTATTTCCAACAGAGAAAATAGCCAAGAGTCAGGGCCACCAGGCCAGCTGTAGGCAGAGGGAGGGGCGTGTCCCAGGAAAGGCGTGGCTCTGGGAGGGGTGTGGCTTGGAAAGGGTGTGGCTCTGGGAGGCCTGGGTCGGGGTGGAGTGGTCACAGGCCGCCTGTTCCAGGGGCAACCTGGGCTCCTTGCAGTTGGAGGTGCGGCTGCGGGACGAGACGGTGCTTCCGTCCAGCTGCTACCAACCCTTGGTACAACTGCTGTGCAGGGAGGTGAAGCTGGGCAGCCAGGTGAGAGGGCTCTGGGGGAGGAACCGATCCTGCAGGGCAGAAGGGGTGCCTGGCTTAGTTGCAGAGGGTCTGCCTAGCTCTGGATTCTTTCCCTAAAGTAGAAACTAAACCAAGACCTTTCTGCAAAGTAGCAAACTGGCTTCTGGGAGCTGGTCAGTGCTCAAGGCCTTGGGCCCTCCTCTGCCTCCTTCAGGGCCCAGGGCAGCTGATCCAGATAATCGAGGAGACGACAAGCACCGAGTGCCGCCAGGAGGTGGCCACCAGCCTGCTCAAGCTCTTCCTGGGGCAGGGACTGGCCAGGGACTTTCTGGACCTGCTGTTCCAGCTGGAGCTGAGTCGCACCAGTGAGGCCGGGAGGAGCTGGGCAGTGTGGGCAAGGGTCCATAGGTGGTCTTCTTAGCTAGGAAGCAGAGGAAGAGGGAGGGGGAGGAAGAGGACAGGCAGGAGGTATTCAGGAGGCCCTGTCCTGAGTCCCAACCCTCAAGTCCTCTGCCCTCCCCTTACCCCTGTCCCTGCTCACTGGAGCCTCTTCTTGTAGGTGAGGCCAATACCCTGTTCCGGAGCAACTCCCTAGCTTCCAAATCTATGGAGTCTTTCCTGAAGGTGAGGGGGCAGATCGTGTATCCTACTGGATGACACCAGGGTGTAGAGAGGCCGGTTTTGTTGGTATCTAGGGCCCATGAAGGCCAGGACCTTCATTCATTCATGGATGTGTGCATTTATTCGGTCTTAATTTACACACTCATTCTTTCATCATGTATTCATGCATGCATGCATGCATCCATCATCCTCTCACGCATTCATTAAGGCATGCATTCATTCTTAGAGAAGCAGTGTGTAGAACTACCCTGGACAATACTCTGGACGATACTGCAGGCAGATCTGCAGGTGCGGTGGTGGGGTGAAGTTAGGGGGTGGCTGGGGAGGCCAGCTGCTGTTGTGAGCTGTGGCCAATGCAGCTGGTGGTGGCTCCCAGGTGGCAGGGATGCGGTATCTGCACAGCGTCCTGGGCCCCATCATTGACAAGGTGTTCGAGGAGAAGAAGTACGTGGAGCTGGACCCCAGCAAAGTGGAGGTTAAGGATGTAGGGTAAGGCCGGGGGAGGAAGCGGGCCTTGTCTGTAAGTGTCCATCAATGGTTCCTTATGCCTGGATTTACCGGTGGTTTCTCTGCTCATCTGCGCACGGTCTCGACGACTGCCTGTGTCTGCGGGAGTCAGAGTCCACGCGTGGGTCCCCTGGACGCGACGCCCAGGTCCCAGAACACCCCCGCATGCTTGTGGGTCCCCCAATGATCAGGTCCACCTCTCCCTCCCCGACCCCTCCCCCGCAGGTGCTCCGGGCTGCACAGGCCACAAACCGAGACCGAGGTGCTGGAGCAGAGCGTGCAGACGCTGCGCGCCCACCTGGCGGCGCTGCTGAGCACACTCCGCGGCTCGGTGCGCGCCTGCCCCGCGCTGGTCCGCGCCACCTTCCGCCAGCTGTTCCGGCGCGTGCGCGAGCGCTTCCCGGGCGCACAGCACCAGGTGCGGCCCCTGGCGGCCGGTCGGGGCGAAGGGGGTCCGGCTTGGCAGGCGCCCCGGCCTGGCGGAGGACGCAAGAGATCCATCCCCGTTCTTCTCTCCGCACCCCTCCAGCACGTGCCGTTCATCGCCGTCACCAGCTTCCTGTGCCTACGTTTCTTCTCTCCCGCCATCATGTCACCCAAGCTCTTCCACCTGCGGGAGCGGCACGCGGACGCCCGCACCAGCCGCACGCTGCTCCTGCTGGCCAAGGTGTGACCTGTGCGGGGGGGGGGGGGGGGTAGCCGGCGGGGCGGCCGGCTGGGCATCGCAGAGGCCCGGGCCGGCAGTGGTGTGTCCCCCGCGGGTCCCGGGAAGGCCTTTGGCGGGGCCTGCACTGTCTAATTCTAACCCAGGCTTTCCACGTGGCCTGGTGTTATATTAGAACCTCCAGAAGGCCAGTGAGGGCCGGACCAGATGGCCTCAAGGAGCAGATCCCCCAAGGCCCGAAATGCCCCATCCACTCCGGGCCCTCCTCTCTCCCCGCCCATGGCTGTAGGCAGGGTCTGGGCCTCTTCCAGTGGAGTGGGGTGTAGTGGTCCCTTAACCCAGCTTCCATCCCTAGGCGGTCCAAAGCATGGGCAACATGGATACACCGGTTTCCAGAGCCAAAGAGGCTTGGATGGAACCGCTACAGCCCACGGTGCGCCAGGGCGTGGCACAGCTGAAAGACTTTATCACCAAGCTGGTGGACTTGGAGGAGAAGGAGGGTGAGGCTTCCTCGCAGGCCACGCCCACCGGCAATAGCCGTGCCCACTCAGCTGGCCACGCCCACAACACAGCACTCCCGTGCTTATGGCCACGCCCGGTGCATGAGGCCCCACCCACTACTGCCCTTGACCTCCCACTCCTGTTTGTTCAGCCCCGCCCCCTGCTGCCCAGGCCTCCAATTAGCTCTTCCCCAGGGCCTATGGCTCCGCTCACCGATCCTGGTGTTTGCTAGCTCCGCCCATCGTTGCCCAACCATTCCGTTCCCTCCTCCCCCAGCCCGAGGCCCCGCCCATGCTCTCGCCTTCATTCCTAGCTCCAGGGCCTGCGGAGCTGGACCTGCACCCGCTGAGCTTGCACGCGCCCCCGGTGAAGGAGGGCCCGCTCTTCATCCACAGGACCAAGGGCAAGGGCCCCCTCACGTCCTCCTCCTTCAAGAAGCTCCACTTCTCCCTCACCACCGAGGCCCTCAGCTTTGCCAAGACACCCAGCTCCAAGGTGGGTGAAGGAGACTGGTGAAAGGGGCAGGAAAAGGTTAGCACGCCCTGGGGCAACTGGGCCATTCCTCTGAGTCCAGCCCAGGCCTGGGGTCAGGGAAGGAGTCTGGAAAGGCGCAGGCTCCTCCTACCTCCACCTCCTGTGTGGCAGGGACTGCAGGCCTGAGCATCCCCTCCAGCCATGGGTTCCACCTTGGTAGCTTGGGGACCCCCTCTGGATGGGCATGCTTAGGTTCACAGTTTCTCTCACCCAGTCATGACAGAGATGAGGAAAGCAAAAGGGAGTTGGAAGTAAACCAGAAAAAGGGCTCAGGCCTGGGCCAGGCAGGACCCCAGGGTTCCAGGTGCAAAGACCCCAATCCAGAGCTCACACCTCAGGCCTACTGGGAGCCCATGGGACTGTGAGTGGTATTGGCCAAGGTCGCTGCTAGAGCAGGCCCCTGGAAGCCATGGGCACCTGCTGGGCATGGAGGCCACATCACGGTGAGCAGGGACAGCAGAACCTGGGAACATGCCAGGCCAGGGCTGGTCACTCTTCTTCCTTTGTGCATGTGTGTGCGTGTGTGTGCCAGTCCTGGGGCTTGTACTTGGCCTCTGGTGTGGAGAAAGGGGAGGCCAAGGCCAGAGACCGGAAGTGGAACAGCCTGGCCTGGCCCCAGCCCCCTTGCCTGCCCTCCACAGAAAAGCGCCCTCATCAAGCTTGCCAACATCCGGGCAGCAGAGAAGGTGGAGGAGAAGAGCTTTGGCAGCTCACATGTCATGCAGGTCATCTACACGGATGACGCTGGTCGACTCCAGACCGCCTACCTGCAGTGTAAGGTGTGTGCATGCATGTGTTGTTCCAGGGCTGAGTGTCTGGGAGCCTGGCCCACCTCAGATGTGGGCACCCAAGCAGGTGGGAGAGGGTGGGCAGGCAGGGATGGGTGTTGGGAAGACTTCCCACAGGAAGTGACTGCTGGTGCCTGGCCCCGCAGTGTGTGAACGAGCTGAACCAGTGGCTGTCTGCACTCCGCAAGGTGAGCGTCAACAATACCGGCCTGCTGGGCTCCTACCACCCTGGTGTCTTCCGAGGGGACAAGTGGAGCTGCTGCCACCAAAGGGACAAGACAGGTGGGGGCAGAGGCTGGGCCCCTGCATTGCATCTCAGAGAGGGGTCCTGGGCCTACCTGGCCAGGATGATCTGGGCACAGAAGCGTTCCAGGATCGCAGGGTTTGGATAGTGCCCCAGGCTGTGTGTATTGCACATGACTGAAAATATTGAAGAGGTCTGAAAACTTGTTAGAATCCAGTTTAGTGTTTCTCAAACTCACTTGAAAGGGAACTCTGGGGGTGCTCTGTGGAACCCTTTCTTTGAAGAAGAGTTTCTTCTAGAGCCCATGTTGTGAGGAATGCACTTGAGGAATTCACTACTGACCAGTCCAGAATTCAAGTTTGCATATCTACATTGGCAGCCTGATCCCAGAGCTGTGGGTTGGAAAGACCTTGGGGCTTTGAGCACTAAAGAAAGAGCAGAGAGGAGTTCTAGAACTCTAGCACTCTAGCTATCATCGTAAATGGTTGTTGAGCATTTGAAATGTGGTTAGTGTAGCAGGTGCGGTGTGTGGGGTGTGGTAGCTCACACCTATAGTACCAGCTCTCAGGCCAAGGAGGAAAAATGCAAGTTCCAGGACAGCTTGGGCTGCATAATGAGACAAAACAAAAAGGATACGGCTGAGTATTGGTGGAAGGAAGGAAGGAAAAAAGGAAGGGAGGGAGGGAGGGAGGAAATGTGGCTAGTACAGCTAACATTAATACTGGGTTTTTATTTTTCAAATTTCATTTATCAAATACCTTATTGAACAGTGACTCTATTGGACAATGAAGTTCTAGAACTTTCAAGACGTTCTTCACCTTGTTCTTACTTGCCTCACAGAGCTGAGCCTTGGTCCCGAGCCTGGCATGGGAAATGCCATTGGAACAGACAACTCCTCCCCCCTCCACGCCCCCCCCCCCGCCATACCCAGTGTGGTCCCTGCCCCGTCTTTGGGGTGGACCAGTGGGAGGGGGTCATTTGCGAGGAGCTGCTGGCTGAGCAACATACCTGCAGCCTCTGGCTGTAACCCAGCATGGCCCACGGAGACAGGGTCTGATAGCCCATTCCACAGGGGAGAAATTGAAGCTTAAGAGATGCCAAAGTAGGCTGGAGACATGGCTCAAATGGTAGAATGCTTGCCTAGCAAGTGCAAAGCCCTGCATCCAACCTCCAGGAGAGAGGAGGGAGGTATGGGGAGAGGGTGCAGTCAACTCAGCAAAATCCACAAGGCCAGCAGCCCAGTCAGACACAAAATTCTCACACCTATAATCCTAGCTACTCAGGTGGCTGAGATTTGAGGATTGTAGGTTGAAACTAGCCCAGGCAGGAAAGTCTGGGAGACTCTTATCCCCAATTAACTACCAAAAAAAGAGATTGAGACACAGCTCATCTACCACACCTGCATGGCTGTAGCTCAAGTGGTAGAGAGCTAGCCTTGGGAAAAAAAAAGCTCAGGGCCAGCACCCAGGTCCAGAGTTCAAGCCCCAGGACTAGCACAAACAACAACAAAAAACCTGACAGTCCAGCCCATCTTGTGGTTCACAGCAACCTCCAGGCAGGCAGGCAATCTCCCAGAAAATGTTGGGGTGCCATAGGCAGGGCCAGGGACCCCTGAGGAGTCTACCCCCGCCCCATCCAGACCCTATCTTGTAGGGCCAGGCAGTTGGGCATGCGTGATGACCACCGGGTAACTCTGTGCTCTCTGCTGTCAGATCTGGGCTGTGATAAAACTCGGTCCCGGGTGACGCTGCAGGAGTGGAACGACCCCATTGACCATGACCTGGAGGCCCAGCTCATGTACCAGCACCTGCTGGGTGTGGAGGCTGCACTGCGGTGAGCAGGGACAGGAGCAGCTGGCATGCGCCAGACCAGGGCCTCGTCCCTGTTCTTCCTTCTGTGTGTGTCTGTGTGTGTGCATGTGTGTGCCGGTCCTGGGGCTTGAACTCAGGTCCTGGGCACTGTCCCTCAGCTTTGCTCAAGGCTGGTGCTCTGCCATTTGAGCCACACATCTTCTGGCTTTTTTTGGGGGGGGGTCCGGTCGTGGGGCCTGAACTCTGGGCCTGGGTGCTGTCCCTCAGCTCTTCAGCTCAAGGCTAGCGCTCTACCACTTGAGCCACAGTG